GATTATTTGTCGACAAAGGTGGATTCTTTTTTGTCGAGTTGTTATCGCATGTTCTAACATTATTGTTGATGTTATTTTCCATTGCACATTATGTTTCCAGTTATCGATACTTTACACAAGTTATTTGACTAGTAAGTATAATATGACTTGAACTTTGCCACTACTTTATCGAGGTTAGTATTGATACTTACTGGGTACCAAGCATGGTGTATCCATACTACAATTCTACACATTTTTGTGCATATCCAAGTGTTGGAGGCAGCGGGCCTTGAGAGTGAGAGCTTGCATCAACCGTGAGGATTCAAGCTAGAGTTGCATGTTGTCGTAGTCCCTAGGAGTCTAATCCTTTATGTAGATACTGTTAATTTTACATTCGAACAGTGTTGTCTTTTGAGTATTCCGTATGTATTCAGTTAGAGATCATGACTTTGTACTACCTAGTTCTGGGGTGATATATTTAGTATAGCCATTTCGGCTTGTGTTAACTCTATTTTCACTTTTGTACTAAACTCTATCTTGTTATATCATGTTTTATTGACTTAATGTTATTAAGTGATAGGCTTACCTATTCTGAGAGACTAGGTGCTATCACGACCCCTTTGGTGAAATTTTGGGTCGTGACAAGAAAATAACAACTCGTAATGAACTTTCCATTCCCATAGAAGGCATCAACCTAAACGTCATGGTCAAAACCATCGGGATCTCTTCAAAACTCATTTGCACATAAGAAATCCATCATAATAAAATCCCTCTAAATCAACCAATCCAACCATAAAAGTGACCAACTACTCGATCATACCGATGAAACCGACCAATGCTATTGTCGTGTTGGCCCAAGCTAATGTCATCTGATCCATTTTCTTCAATCGCTCTAGATTCCCTCAACGATGATACAGAAGTGCCCTAAGTCTTCGCCATAACTCCATGTTAATCACAACTCCCAACCAAGCAAAGGGTCCGATTAATCTTCACGCATCACATCCCGAAGCTCAAACTTACTAGAACCACATTTTGAAAGTCAGCCACTCCATTCTAGTGCCCCAATACCTAACCGAACATACCAAACAATCTATTCCCCATTGCATATCATCCCTTTCGTAAGAAAGTAAAATTGCCCATAGATAGCTTAGTGAATATCGCGTCACTGAACGCCTGGGCGTACGCCTCAAATTGTTGCGTGTACGCCTCTTGATACTTTCGCACACACTATCACCTCGGGACATTTTGTATGTGCCTCGCCCCAGGGCTCGCCCTGAAAATGCCTTTTACAACAGTGGGTGGCACATAATTAACAACAGCAAAAAGGCAACATTCACACGATAACTTAGCAATTAAGGTAGAATATATATACGTGCATATGAGGGAAAGATAAATACAATACAAGGCATGTCCCTCGTCCTCACTTGCACGGAAACATCCATTGTACTATGAACTCATGATAAATATAATACAATACATGTTGCTCGTCCTCGCTTGCACATAAACACTTGTCGTTCCAAGAACTCTTATCCTCATAGGTACATAAACACTTGTTATACCAATATCATATCAAATCGCATGGAAACACATGTCATACTAATATCACTCATCCCGGCCTGCACGAAAACATCAGTCGTGCAATATCACTCATCCTCACCTGCACGGAAGGACCCGTCGTGCAATATCACTCATCCTTACAATATGTATATCAGTACTAAGCAAGGTAGGATGCATAAATACAATCAAGAGGGATGAGTAAGAATATTACAATATATGAGAGATAAGCATAACCATCGTACAACTACAAACTAACAATTCAAGAGTCGCCTTGTCCAAATATCGCAACAGAGTCTGAAAATAATCTCAACATGAATAAGGATCAAGTAGCACAAATATGGCAGGTATGGACATGTGTTCCTAATATAAAGCACGATTACAATCAAATCAAGTATATCACAACTTCAAGAATAGCCCATCATATTCTTTTAAGTTGTCATATGTTTAAACATGATTTCTAGCATAGATAATTATACTCATTTAGTCATTGAAGCAAATGAAGCATAAGTCAAGAATATCACAAAGTTCAACAAGGCACAAGAAGTCTATAATCTATCCTGAGTATGAATAACCCTGGCACATGCATATACGCTTGTTACCTCGCATATGCATCATCCCCTCTCCCCCCATGTACCAAACAATATCATTTATTAGAAAAAAATTCCTCAACCAAAGATAGGCAAGACACTTACCTCATTCTAAAACAAGTTCAACAACCAAATACTGCTTCCCTTAGAAATACTCCTTAAAAAGATCAAAACTTAGTCAAATATCATCTAAGAAAGTCAAACAATGCTAGAAAATATCCTAGTCAATAAAGGTTCGGTCTTAGATGAAATCCCAAAATTCAACAAAAAAACGCAGGAGCACATGGTCCAATCTAAAATTGAGACCAAATTTCGATGACCCATAACCTCACGAGTCTAAATATATAATTAATTTCAAGATCCAATCTCAAATTGAGGTCAAAATCCCCAAAATTAGTATTCATTAGTTCAAACTTCAAATCAAAAAAGCCAAATTTTTACACTTTAAAATCCTAGATTTAGGGATGAAGATCTAGGGGGAATAACGAAAATTAATCAAAACAATGTTAAAATCACGAATCTTGAAGTTGGGAAGAAAATTCTCTCTAAAATCGCCACCTAACAAAGTCTAAATCTCGAAAAATGGAATGGGCTAATATCGGAATCCTTCCCTTTTAACGCAACTTCAAATATCGTAATTGCAAACTCTTGTTTGTAATCTCGCAAAAGGGAACAAGTGTTCGCAATTGCGAAGGACTACTGATGTCGCGCGTGTGACATGTATGTCGCAATTGCAGACATTGTAAATGCGATCCAAGCTTCGGAATTTCGAAGCTCCCCTTACCAAGCCTCGCAAATGCAAGGTGATATTTGCAATTGCGAACCTCATATTTGTAAATTGTCACAATTGAGGCAACAACACCACTAGCAATTGCAAGACTTACCAAAATAGTCTGAAATCAAAACTCACCCGAGCGCCCCTCCCCCCGACCCTATTCCAAAACATTCAAAAAATTATTACACAAACTCGCTCGTAATCTTAAAACATCAAAATAACATCAAAAATCAAGAATCAAGTATCAAAACGCAAGAATTTCAAAAACTTATAAACTCAAATTTCCAACTTTTGACTAGAAGCACTAAAATTACATGGGATCACCCCGGACCCAAACCAAACGTACGTACAAGTCCAAAATCATCACACAAACCTATTAGAATCGTCAACCTTGGAGCGTTGACTTGTTCCGGAAAGAGGTAAGTGTCTTGGTTAACCGTGATTTGAGGAAATTAGGTTGTAGTTGAGTCTTTGCTACGTGCTTTATGTGTTCAGGTTGGTGTATATGCAAAGTGACGAGTATATATGCGTTTGTCATGGATTAAGCATGCGGGTAGAGTTAGCCTTATTCATGACTTGTTGCTTCATATATTACTTCTTATTTGCTCTGTATGGTTCGTGGAACTTCTTGATTATTCGTATTTGTGCTAATAGTTACATTTTGGATTTGTTGAGACATTTTGATATTATGTTTCTTGCGATGTTGGCTCGGCTTTTGATGCAAAAGTGATGGTTATCTCTCATGTGGTGTGTTATACTTAATCACTCTTTATGATGTTGTTATGCTTCCTACCTTGCTTGGTATTATTTTGTATATATGCTTGATGAGGAATAGTGAATTGCATGAAGGGTGTTTCTGTGCTTGTGAGGAAGAGTGATTATGCACAAACGGTATTTTCGTGCTTCTTAATATTATTGCTATTTCACAAAGGGTGTTTTTGTGCTTCTTGAAATTTCTATTATTATTATTATTGCTCGAAGGGTGTTTCCGTGCTTGATGAGGAAGAGTGTTAATACATATGCACGAAGGGTGTTTCTATGCTAGTGAAGATGAGAGATAAATGCACAAAGGGTATTGTCATGATATTTGCTTTTTTATCTTTTACTCCTTGCTTCATTTATGCAGATTCGAGGACTTGGCTATGTTGTTTCACGGATATTGTTCATTCTCTCAGACTTGAGTTATTGTGAAAGGCTTGATTGTGTTATTTGAGAAGATACGATCATTGTTTCCCTTAGTTGATTCTTTACTATTCCTCATATTTTTTCTTGCTATTACTCTCTTGTTATCTCACTCATTAATTCTCATATTATATTACTTGTTATCTTACTTATTATTTCACTTGTTGTCTTACTTGTAATATATCTCTTGTTATTTCTCTAGTTATTGAACTGGACAGGTTTATAGAGTATGTATCTTGTTTTAGCCTCGTCACCACCTCGGCGGAGTTAGGTTTGCTACTTACTGAGTACATAGGGTCGGTTGTACTCATACTATACTTATTCACTTGTGCATATTTTTCTGGCATTGGATCTAGTGGTGCTCAGAGAGCTAACTAGCTTGTTGATTTGAGGAGACCGGAGGTAGTGCTGCACTCCGCAAGCCTTGAAGTCATCTTTCCATTTTTCCTATTACTGTTTATTTGTGTCAAAGAATATCATTTATCATTTCACACGCTGTATTTAGTAAATCCTTAGATACTCATGCACTCAGTGACACCCGTCCTAAAAAGTTATTAGATGGATGTTTTGGCTTAGACTCGTTATGTTGTTTTATGTTAGTCTTATTATTATTCAGTGTCAGCTTAGTTGGGAATTTGGGTCATGATACATATTTTCTGAAAATAATGAGTATTCACAACGAAAATTATATTTTTTAATTTTTTTGAAGAGAATGAATGTTGGTTAGTCTTGTGGATATTCAACCAAGAAAATAGAAGAAAGAAGAAATATTTGAGCCCAAAAGGGAAGATTAATAATACGACGTGGGAAGATGTATTGGTTATAGCCATTCAAGTTCCTGTTTGTTCGGCAATATTTTTATTCATTTGGATTCAGGACATTTACAGAAGTTTTGATCTCCTGCTCTTTCTTTTCAAAACCAAGGGTGCTTAGCAGTTCTGATTATTTGAAAGTTGTATTTTTTGTGGACAATTTAACCTATAACCTTGGTGAGTTTTCTTTCTCCTCTTTCTGTTGAATTTTTTTTTCTAGTCTTGACGTTAGAATGGCAAAATTTGGTGATTCCTGTTTGAAAATTCCTTTGGCTTCTTAAGATCATAGCGATGATAGTGTTGTGTAAATACTGTCATCCAGATATGAACATTTACTTTGATAGGTGAATGTGGTGCCTAGAGGGAAGTAGAAATGGCGTACAAGGTGGATCATGAGTACGATTATTTATTTAAGATTGTATTGATTGGAGATTCAGGTGTCGGAAAATCTAACATTCTTTCCAGATTTACGCGAAATGAATTCTGTTTGGAGTCTAAATCCACCATTGGCGTCGAATTTGCAACTAGGACACTTCAGGTTAGTTTCCAATTCTCCCAAGTTCCATGCATTTCTGAACCTTGTATTTCATGGATTAAGATATGATTATGTGCAATTATATTTTGCTAATTAGTCTACCACAATTATGCTTAATTAATAAAAACGTGCATTGCATGGCGCAGGTAGAAGGCAAGACAGTAAAGGCACAAATATGGGACACAGCAGGGCAAGAAAGGTATAGAGCAATAACAAGTGCTTATTACAGAGGAGCCGTGGGAGCACTTTTAGTTTATGATATAACAAAAAGACAAACTTTTGAAAACGTGCACCGATGGCTTCGTGAGCTCAGGGACCATGCTGACTCCAACATTGTCATAATGATGGCTGGAAACAAGTCGGATTTGAACCATCTTCGAGCTGTACCAGAGCAAGACGCAAGGCTCTTGGCCGAGAAAGAAGGCTTGTCATTTCTTGAAACCTCTGCATTGGAAGCTTTAAATGTTGAGAGGGCGTTCCAGACGATTTTGTTGGATATTTATCAGATAATGAGCAGGAAAGCTTTAGCAGCTCAAGAGGCAGGTGCTATTCCTGGTCAAGGAACTGTCATTAAGGTTGGAGAGAATTCTGGCAACTCCAACAAGAGACCATGTTGTTCTAACTAAAAACTGGGATTGTATTATTTAAGAGTAGATTTATATGTGTAAGAGTTGAATTGAGGAATGACATATAGGAATCTTATGCTGCATAAAATTACTTGTAATTAAACACAGGTAAACTTTTTGTAATACTTTTTGACATTCTGAAGTATGAAAGATTTTTGCTGTAGTAGCTTATAACTCAAGTGAAGGTCCTGATGGACAAGCAATCAGTTTTTGGTTGCTTCTTAATCCTGTGTTTCAATAGGGTCAATATTTCTAGTATTTCACTCAAAAAGTAAAACAAATGAATTACTTACATCTTATTGACATCATGCAGAGCGTAAAAGCTTTTTAAGGACAATTACGAAGTGTTTCTTATGAATCTGGCGCCTGGCTTGCTGCAAAGTAGGATTTCAATTTAGAACAATATTTGCAGGAAAGTAGGAAACATTTCTGGAGCATTCAAATTCAATTTTTATTGCAGTTAAAGTGCAGCAGTCTCCGATAAATGTTACATTTTCTTCTATTTTTCATTGTGGCATATAATTCTCTTTGGGACTGAGCATCCACAGATGAATCCCATAAAAAATGAGGGGAGCAAATCCAGCTTTGCAAGATCAATGAGCAGTCAGATTCAATGACTTCTGAATTGCCATACAGCAGACGAGACCATCAACAGCCACGGCCAGAGATGTTACAATGATGGTATCATAAAGGAAAATTTCCTGTGAGGTAAATGTGATCCAATGTACGTCTTAAACCATACTTATTCACGGCTTCGTTAGCAGCTCTAAATCCTCCACCATATGCTGGAGAAGTATCATGGGCAATCTGGTGCATGAAAAACTCACCCAGCTTATTCTCTACTCCAGACTTAACACCTTTCTTGGATGATGACAATGACGAGGATGAAGCAGTTGACGTGGATGGCATATCTCTCGATACAGGCATTACCTCTGATTCCAGCCACATGTAGGAAAGCATTTGGCATATTCCTTCTTCTACCTCAAGGCTGAGATTACGGAATCCTGCAAATAAGTGATCAGGTTCAAACTTATATTAGCTGCAGAGGCGAATCCAGAATCTAGAGTTAGTGGATTCAGAATGAATGAGATCACATTCATTTTATGTATTACATGTTTTAAATGTTTTTTGCACATATATAGAGCCAAAAGCAATTAGTTTAGTTGAACTCATAGAACCCGCTCTAATGATTAGCTGGTATCAAGCATCATGAGAGTTTGATGATGAAGCATCCGGCTATCTTTTTATCTTTATTTTCTTGAAGATGAAGATTATATACATCTCCAGAGTTTGCTGCAAGCCCATGCAGATAGAAAGCCAGGATCAAAATTACCTTTTAGACGTAACCACGCATGCATCAGTTCATGAGCAAGAATGGCACCAGTAAGTAGTCTGCAGATAAAGAATTATAGTCAGTCCATCTGGCCTTACATAATCTTTTCAGAAAGCATCTTCACTGTTAAACAAGGGTTACAAATATACAAAACAAAAACATTGTCAATAGGATATGCCAGGAATACCGCAAGAACAGTGTGTCTGTTTCACTTGACTGGTTATTTAGGAGTGATTTCTTTTCTCACATATGAACTCTTCTTTCTCGTCATCCCTTTAAAATGTAGATTATTTACATTTTCGCTCTGCTTCTAGAAGAACACTAACTCGATACATGATAAAACACATTAAAGACATTCTTGTTATTCATTTAGAAACTCTATCTCATATAGGCAAACCCAACTTGTTCAGGACTAAGGCGTAGTTGTGGCTGTTGTTATTTGGAAACTAGACCTCCTCTTTTTTAGAGCCTATAATGTTTAAATTGGTGTATGTTCACATTGGAATAGAGAAATGGAATTAATATTGACACTTTGTAGGTATATTTGTGTGAAGAGGGAAAGCTGCCTTAATAGACGTTGAATTGAAAAAGTTAGTTGAATGTCATAATAAGTTTGCTTTCTTTAATTCCTTATCCTTTGAGTTGATTCCTTCTCCTCTCGTCTTGTTTGGAGAGGAGGGTTCGCCACATTCCACGTAACACTTTTCGCTCTTTTGAGAATTATGTTAGAATAAAATAAACTGAAAGTAATTAACACAATGAAAGTTACCTTGGGAGACCAAACAACACTAGAATAGCTGTAACTTCACATTTTCTAGTTAGCTTCTGAGGATGTGTTCTGATTCCTACTACTTCACGACCACCCATTCTTGGCCTTTTGAGTATCTGGACATATGTTCAATAAGATGTCATAGCTCGTATTGCACGATTCAATAGGTTACCTATAGATTTGACAGTTCTAATCTAAATTGAAAATTGATTTCAAGTAAATGAAGAGCTTACACTGGTGACTGTCTGCTCTTCTGATAGGCATAGACCTCTCGTTTCAGGCATATGATGAAAACCCTACAAAAAAATTACGGTCAGAAATTTTCCAGACTAAAGAACAGAAAAACTACATTATGAAGTCACTCTTACATGCTTTTCCCCTTCAATGGCTTCATTAAGTGCTTGTCTTTCAACGAGAAGCATAGGAACTTGCTGATCTATTTTCATGTTCATGCCTTCATAATAGTCTCTGATTGAATGGTAAAGCGGTTGACAGTCCCCGGTATCCATGATAGCAGATTCCATGCACTCCAAACATAAGCTCCTACCATCCCCAAGCGATATATATCTTGCATTCCATGGCTTAAAGAAGATAAGAACAATATCAGCGTGAAGCATATTAGTTGAACGATAGGTGATCCAACATGTTTGATTTCAGCTGATAACCATACCTCCAGACGTTCACAACTACAGCATCGTTTTGTGACATCATTTTCATGTGAAGGACAATATTTCTGAGACCAAAACGGGTGGCACCTATACTCAATCAAGCCTGCTGCATTTGTTGGGATCTGAAAATGAAATGGTGGATCGTAAAACAAACTACTGCATGAGGGATTATAAGGTGAGAAATGGTACTCCTTTCAATATTTGTCTGTAAGTATATTTCAAATTTCATGAAATATTTCCAATACTTTAAACTGCTTCACCAAAAGATAGGATGCAATTTTTAGTGACACACAAAAAATGGCACTATAAGCTGGTTTCTAATCAGACAAAAAGTATTGCAGAACAATTTGACAAAAGATAATCTATGTAAAACATCTCTTTAGGATGGTGAACTAGACAACACTTTTACTCAAAGACGAAAACAGAATGCATCAATGGATATAATAATGACAGCAAGTGATCGATGACACTCTACGGGCACTTCAACAATCATGTGCCAGTACTGTATATGCATTTTTCTGTTTGACGAGCAAGAATCAGTATTATCCTAACAGAACATGCAGGAGAAGCTTATATCTGCAGATGCAGTCAAGATTAAAACCTTGAAATGTAAATTGGATTTGTGATGAGCAATTTCCGTTAACCAACTACATGAAGAAGCACCATGTCCTTACAAATTGGTAGCAAACTTCACATTTGGGGTGAGTCATTTCTCTGAAGCATGATTTGTGATAATAATTGTTCCCTGACAAAGAAAACTTGAATCAACAAAGAAACCAATGAGCTAAACACAAGAAAAGTTTCAAAACCATTAGGTCAATTGAAATTACAAGTTTAATTCAAATTTCATTTGGGAGAAAGATTGAGTGATAGTTAGAGACAAAGGACAAGAATGTACCTCATATTCAGTAATTGGATAACCACAAGCACGACAACGAAAGCAATTTGGATGAAAGAAAGTTCCCATGCATCCCAAATAATTGCCAGAGCCAATATCCCCATGGCAGCCACTACATATTCTGCAAATTATAAATGCGCTATATGTTCATCCGAAACAATCAGTAGTTTTCAACAGATACTCCTTCGAAAATTTGTTTGGATGTGCATATTAATTCAGGTCTTAAATTTGAATTTTGTTCATTCTCCATTTTTCAACTAAAGACAGATTGAAGTTTTCATCTATAATAGGTATTAGCATGCGACAGTTTCCATTTTCAGACAACACTGTCTCAGTAACACATATTGAATTTGATGCCCCGTGAATTTACCACTCTAAAAGGCAGCCTTCTATGAAATAGATAAATAAATGCTATAATTAAGCTGAATTTGAAATGACACAATGCACAAGAGGATATCTCAACAAAATCCAATTACCTATAACTTGTGGGATTATATTGCCAAGGTGCATATAAAGGAGCATAAGGAGGCGGATATGACGATGAAGTAAGGTCATGGTTAAGCGAACTTCCTACATCTTCATCATTCTCAGTCCTCCATTTGTATCCTGCAAAGCACACAACTCTCAGTCTTAACCTCAAAAGAGTGAAATTAGTCATATAAATAGATTCTATATACAAATAAAAACTTTTAATTTCCACCTGGTCTTTTCAAATCTTCGGCCAAAGATAATGCAGTTGCATTTTGGTCTAGTTCCTCTTTTTCTGTACTAGCCCTAGAGCGATCATCCTGATGAACTTTAAAATTGCGTTAAGAAACATTCAATCAGAGGAGCATGAAATTCAATTTAAAACGACAGAACAAAATTCCTATGAGTAAATCAGTCAGATGTTAGAAATAAGGATAAAGCAAAAGATTGAGTCATGACTAGTAGAATTTGACTTCTGAAGCAGCCAAAATTCCTGAATTCAAAATGAAAAGTTAAAAAAATTACTCCTACCAATGATCCGACTGGAGCGCGCCAAACCATATTTTCATCTTCTAGAAACTGGGGTTGACGTCCACGTGGAGATCCCCTATTACATGACCCACCCTTGAAAATCTTAGTCAGCCATTTCATAACCTTTGACTTTCTCTCTGCGTATGAAGAAACAAACTGACCTGCTTTAAACCCCATAAGAATATCAACAACAAAGATCAACTTTTTTCACATAAAAATAAACCAAGGTTCATTGTATACTCAAACGGGTATACGTAAATAGCAAAAAAGTCAAGTCTAGGAACTTTTGAAACATTACCATATATGCATGGCTGAGAAAAATGGTTGATATTTGAAGAAGACATGAGAAGAATTAAGGTGTGTATTGAGAGAGAGAGAGAGAGAGAGAGAGAGAGAGAATGGTACGTAATGTATTAATGGAACAGAAGAGAAGGTGGAGGAGAGAGAAGAAGAATGGCATGATTGATAAAAGGGTACGTAAGTTATA